GAGTGACAAACATAACTTTCTTATCATCCTGTGCAGCTGTTTTTCTCGAAAACCATTTTTGAGTGATATATTCTAAAAATTTTATCTTGATAGCTACGATATCACTCTGAAACCTTTTCTAATGAGTCTTGTTTACAACTGTGGTCCTTTTAATAAATAATTTGAGCATAAGGGATGAGCAGAAATGTTTAAAGACTTCCAAAACTCATCATTCCAGCCCAGGATTTGGCCATGTTTGATGCATGCATAAAACTGAACACCAAGAATAGAATGTCCTTTTTCATAATTTCAGGCTGTAATTCTTCTTTAAGAACGCATTCTAAGCTTTCATTTGCCACCTCAATCACCATTCTTGGTTTAGATTTACTGCTGGAAATTTATTTTACAAGTTGGAAAATTCTTTCGTTTTCTGCGTAAACTGAGTTTATAGGTATAAATGTGCAGCCATCTTTAAAACTAGTCCACTTTTCTTCTTCAATCCTTTTGCACTTAAACCAACTAGTCCTTCTGCTCATTTTAATTCATAAACCATCAATATAAGATAAGGGAAGATGGTTTCCACCTCTCAACTTATGTGAAAGCAGTCTGCGAAAACCATTTGTTTGTCCTCAGAACACTAAAATCTACAATCTTGGGCCTAAAGCTACCATAGTTGTACCAATCTTTTTGTCTTGATGAGATCAGGTTCCCTAGAGCCCTTCGGGTATGAAAAATGTCCTAGAACTCACCGTTTTGCCAGAAATGGGCGTTTTTGTAATGAACTTGGCAATATCATGTAAGGTGTTTTCCAGATGTCAAAATAGCAGTTTCCTTAGCCCTTGTCAGGGCTTTTATTATAATTCCAGAAAGAATATCTTGAAGAAAGACGATCCTTGTAATAAAACAAGACGAGTGTCTTAGAGACTGTCCACTGCTGCGCTCGACGCATTGAAGCGCGCTAGTCTTAGTCATAGTTGACGCGTCCCAACCCGAGGGTCCGGGGTTAGAGACCCACTGTACAGTGGGCCAGAAGACCGGTAGAGCGGCCAAAACTCTAGACGCGTTTTGAGCTCTAGAGTCGCTAAATGGGACTCGAACAGAACGTGTGACCCCATCAATGGATTCCTCGTTCGAAGAGCTATCCATCGATGGGGTCACACGTTCGGTTCGAGTCCCATTTAGCGACTCTGGAGCTCAAAACGCGTCTAGAGTTTTGGCCGCCTGTTGGCGCACTGTGCACGGGCCCCGCCCCGCCCCGCCCCGCTCCGCCCCGCCCCGCCCCGCCCCGCCCCGCCCCGCCCCGCCCCGCACGCGTCGAAGACTGTCGAAGACCTGGCCTTGGTCGGGCTTGGCAGTGAGCGTGCGCAGGTAAATGCTGAAGGCCGTCGCGCAGCACGGCGGAGAGGCTTGACCCGGACGCGGCGTCGACGACGGTCTTCTTGGGCTCGCGGCCCGGCATGGCGACTTTGAAGCGCTGCAGCGTCTCGCTCCAAGTCCAGGACAGCCCGTCCAGCTTCTTGTCGAGGCGGCGCGTCGCGTTCCTGGCCGCGCTCCTGTGCCGCGCTCCACATGGCGAACAAGTAGGGCCTGCTTTCGAACTCGGCGCCGGACAGGTAGGCCGCCAGCTCGGCGCGGGAGGGCTCACGTCTGACCAGGCCAGTAGCGCATGAGTGCGACAGAGACAGCGCGACGAAAGAGCTTTTCCGAATCGCTCTGTCTCTCTCGCACCCATACGGAGAGTCCCATGAGTGTGACAGAGACCACGCGACGAAATGACCCTTCCGAATCGCTCTGTCTCTCTCGCACCAATACGGAGAGCCCCATGAGTGCGACAGAGATTGCGCGACAGGGGCGGGGAGGGGGGGGCGTAAATTGAATTGTCGTCCAACTCGTTCGGTGAGCTATCCATCGATGGGGTCACACGTTCGGTTCGAGTCCCATTTAGCGACGCTGGAGCTCAAAACGCGTCTAGAGTTTGGGCCACTTGCTGGCACACTGTGCACGGGCCCCGCCCCGTTTAGCCCCGCCCCGCCTCGCCCCGCCTCGCCCCGCGCCGCCACGCCCTGCCCCGCCCCACCCCGCCCTCGCATCCATACGAAGAGTCCCATGAGTGCACACTAAATTACTATGTAGGTTTTTCTGCGCGCTAATGCACGAAATTATACATGCACTTCGTAACGCACGAATTTGTGCGCGACAATGCACGATTTCCTGCATATTTGCGCACGAAATCGTGCATTTTCGCGCACAAATTCGTGCGTTACGAAGTGCATGTATAATTTCGTGCATTAGCGCGCAGAAAAACCTACATAGTAATTTAGTGTGTGCGACAAAGACGGCGCGACGAAAGAGCTTTTCCGAATCGCTCTGTCTCTGAGTTTTCTTTGTTTTTGACGGCCAAGCCTTGCCGTCCTCGCCGTGCTCACCGTGTTCGCCGTTTCCTCCGCGCTGACTGCCCGCCGGCGCGAAGCAGTAAGTTGCGGGGCCCTTCTCGTCGCTCCGTCTCTCTCGCACTCACGGGGTGTTGCCTGTTGGTGCGAGAGAGACGGAGTGACAAAAGCAGTGCATCCTGTTCAACACAGTCGGCAGGGCCGCCTTGGTCGCTCTGTCTCTCTCGCACCATCGATGGGGTCCACTCTACAAAAAATGTCCTGTCAACGCCGTTAATTTATTACCAATGTTTGCTGTTATGCAATTCACGGCGTTTGCTGTGAACTAGTTCACGGCGTTCACTGTGATCTCGGTCACAGTGTTCACTGTGATCTGGCCACAGTAAACGCCGTGAATTGGAGCCTGATTGGCCGTACTTCGGTGCTCAGCGGCGTCAAACTCACAGTGTTTACTGGGGACCAGATCACAGTGAACACCGTGAACAAGATCACAGTGAATCCCGTGAGCAGATCACAGTAAACGCTGTGAATTGACCTACAGTAAAAACTGGTAATAAATTAACGGCATTTACAGGACATTTTTGGTAGAGTGTCACTCGTTCGGTTCAAGTTCCATTTAGCGACTCTGGAGCTCAAAACGCGTCTAGAGTTTTGGCCACCTGTTGGCGCACTGTGCACGGGCCCCGCCCCGCCCCGCCCCGCACCGCCCCGCCGCGCCCTGCCCCGCCCCGCCCCGCCCCGCCCCACCCCGCCTGGCCTGCCCCGCCCCGCCCCGCCTCGCCCTACATGGTGGCGAACGAGTTGGGCCTGCTTTTGAACTCGGCGCCGGACAGGTAGGCCGCCAGCTCGGCGCGGGAGGGCTCACTGCCAAACAGGCGAGTGGCGGCGCGCGGTGGAGACGGTCGGTGTGTTGTCGGTGTAGGCCTCCTTGAGGATCTCCAAGAGGTGCTCGGGGAGGCCGTGCTGCTCCAGGAGATGGAAGTTGGCGCGGGCCAGACCCCGGGCCTTGTCTTGAGCGCCGGGCGGGCGCACTAGTACACTGGCAGTCTGGCAGTGCGGTGCCGGGCCAGTGGGGTGGGGGAGGGGGAGGTGCGGCGGGGGAACTTCGCGGAAACGCACACTGCCACTTCCAGGCAGCGTGCGTGCAGACTGAGCAACGCTCTCGTCGCTCTGCCTCTCTCGCACGCATGGAGCTTCCCGTAAGGATTCGAGAGAGACAGAGCGACGCAAACGGCCAACAGAATCACTTCCCTCGGCGCGGACCCGTGCGTTGCAGGGCCCTCCGCCTGCATAGCCAGGAATCTCGTCGCTCCGTCTCTCTCGCACTCACGCGGTGTTGCCTGTTGGTGCGAGAGAGACGGAGTGACAAAAGCAGTGGATCCTGTTCAACACAGTCGGCAGAGCCACCTTGGTCGCTTGGACGAACTGTTGGACTGCCAGTCATCAAGTGTCACTCGGGCCCCCGCGAGACCCTGCGTGACCCCGCGGCGGGGAGGGGGGGGCGTAAATTGAGTTGTCGTCCAACTCGTTCGGTGAGCTATCCATCGATGGGGTCACACGTTCGGTTCGAGTCCCATTTAGCGACTCTGGAGCTCAAAACGCGTCTAGAGTTTGGGCCACTTGCTGGCACACTGTGCAAGGGCCCCGCCCCACCCCGCCCAGCCCCGCCGCGCCCCGACCCGCCCCGCCCCGCCCCGCCCTACCCCGTCCCGCCCCGCCCCACCACAGTGGGCCAAATGACCGGTGGAGGCGTCCAAAACTCTAAACGCGTTTTTAGCGCCAGAGCCGCCAAATGGGACTCGAACCGAATGTGTGACCCCACCAACGGATTGCTCTCCGAACGAGGAATTCATTGGTGGGATCACACGTTCCATTCTAGTTCCATTTAGCGACTGTAGAGCTCAGCGTGCTCCACGCCCGCGCTGCCCGTGACGCTGTTCGTGACGCTGTTCGTGACGCTGTTCGTGACGCAGCCGTCACGCTGCACCTCGCGTTGCCGACCGCGCTGCCTGTGTCTTACCTTCATCACGGTACTCGCCATGCTCCGCGTGCTCCACGCCCGCGCTGCCCGTGACGCTGTTCGTGACGCTGTTCGTGACGCTGTTCGTGACGCTGTTCGTGACGCTGTTCGTGACGCTGTTCGTGACGCTGTTCGTGACGCAGCTGTCACGCTGCACCTCACGTTGCCGATCACGCTGCACCTCGCGTTGCCGATCACACTGCCTGTGTCTCGCTGTCCGTCACACTGCCCGTCACGCCCTCAGTCACGCTGTTTGTGTCACGCTGCCAGTGTCACGCTGCCCGTTTCTCATGGCGTTAGGACCCAAATTTGTGCAAGATAACTTGTCTGAACCAAAAGCGGGCGAGAAGCACTTCCTCGCCCGAATTTGGGCAGTGCATTTTTCGTTGCTCATCACGTTGGTCGTGATTATGGACTTTCATTCTCTGTGATGTTTGGGGTATGCTTCCACAATCATCTGCCATATTTCAGAGTTTTCTTTGTTTTTGAATACATATTTGATAGGGTGACGCTGATGTTAATAAAAGCAAAATCGTGCAACTCTTATTTATTCTTTTAATTTTTTGGTTTAATACTAGTTATTTTATTTCTTGATTTCCCTTTACATTCATTTATTCTCCCTGGGATTGATTATGGATTTTAATTCGAGGGAGACGAACTCGCAGCTCCTGTAACTCTGCCAGGATATCAAATTGTACCGTCTCAAACACTGGCGTCTGTAACACCTGCTTGATTTCTTCCAGGGTTGATGTTCCACTCGAGAGTGTCCTCCGACACTCCGCGACCATCAACGGCTTAGCAGCCTCCCTCCAGCTAGTCATGTAGTTGCTGAACAGCCCGTCGTTCATCACCAAGTCGTCGGTCTTCGTCTCTCGCCGTGCCCATTCGGTGAGTTTCTCCCTGTTCCAAGGGCCTTCAAAGATGTTGACCGGGAACGCCGGTGGAAGTTTGACCAACAGTGCTCTGAGCTTGGCCTCTGCAGTTGCTTTTTTGATGGCCGCTTTTTCAGCTGCAGCCTTCTCACTGGAACAAATTATTTTTTTAGTAAATGTATTTTAGTGTAAGTTTTAACGGTGAAGGTACCGTAAAGTAGACCTCACCTTGTCTGCACTCTGTAATACTTTTTGACAGTGTGTGGCGAGTGATTCAAACCGGTAGCCACCAGCTCTTTATCATGCGTAGATCCATAAAGATCCACTGTAGTTTCAACGGTTTTACGCAGTTTTGTGCACGTAAACCTCTCGCGGCCATTTTTTTCCAGCCAAACATTGAGTCTTCGGTAAATTTTTGTATGTTCCTAAGCGTGAAAGTTAAAAAAATTCAAGTAATTGTCTCTTGGTTTTCTTGGGCACATATTTTGGGCAAATCAGATACTTACGACGAATCCCTTTGTTGGGGAAAGAAAAGGAAAGCCGTATGCTGGAGGTGGCTTAAAGCGCTTGAGCACAGCGACGTATCGTAAGAAATCCATTTGATGTTCCTTTTCAATCGCTATTGTGGCCTGTTTTATTCTTCCTGTTTTGTGAGATGCCACTGAAATGTGTAAGGTGTCCCTGAACAAGCTTGGCGAGTTTATTTCGGCGAATGTGCACTTAGAAATTTCGCCGGGCCTCGCGGCGAGGAAAAGCTGTCTCGTAGCCATGAACTCCACTACCTGGTTAAAAGCCTCGCGAAGATGACTCTCGTCTGTTAACATGGAAGCAAAAATACTTTTTTTAGAAGAAATCAGTTGAAACCGGGGGGGGGGGGAGGGGCTGTAAATTGGTCTATTTCTATTCATACCGGGCTTTTTTCCAAGTTGCTGGATCTCTTCGTCACTTGCTGACTCGAGAGCCTTTAACTGCTCACCGAACTGGCTCACATTGTCACTGTCCAGAATGTACTCTTCCCATGCGGCAACATCCGGCAAATTTTCACCCAAAGCACATTTTCGGCTTGCCAGCTCCCGATCTTTTTCCTCTGTCTTGCGAAGGCCAAAATCTGCCATAATGCTTGTTGCTTTTTTGAGGGCATCCATGTATTTTTTGTGCTGCAAATTAAGTGAAATTTTCTAATTAACAAGGAATATTTTAAAGTGACCCAGCGCGCAAAGTGTGAAAAAAGGACGCAGTGTAAAGTGAATCCCCTATGGATGTTTTCTGAAAAACCTACCTCATTTGTATCACTTGGCATCCCGTCCGCTTCATAGAATACGTCCGGTACCATTTTCATTATTGTCAACGCTTTGTCCACATAATTTTTAGTTGTGGATGCTGTTGCGCCTCCTATTTCGCTAACCATCTGCACATACTCCTTCATTCTGTCTGTGTGGAGAAGGAGAGTCCAGCCGTGGCTATCCTGTGTCCCCACCATGTACTCCACGTAACCCAGAATCCTCCTGATCTGGCAAAGAGCATTTTTAACCTGCAGGCTCCGCCGATGGCCGCCTGTCGAGTAATTCACCAGCGCTCGGACGATGCTCTTGTTTTCATCCAGGCTTGGATAACCCATTTCTTGCAGCCGTTTTCTTGCGCTCTTTTCGGGACGTTGAGCATCGCTTCCCTGATGAGTGCAAGGCGTTAAATTAATAAAGTTTGAAAGACGAGAAGGGGGCGCAGCATGATTAGGACATACCTCTGTCTCGTCTATCTCCTCCACCACCTCTTCCATTTTCCTTTTTTGGGGCCTTTCTTGATCCTAAGCGAACAAAACCTTAATCAGTTACTACAGTCGTGCCTCCACGGTCCCATCGTGACACTGTCACGGTCACATAGTGACTCTGTCACGGTCCCACCGTGACACTGTCACGGTCACATTGTGACACTGTCACGGTCACATTGTGACTCTGTCACGGTGACATAGTGACACCGTCATGGTCACATTGTGACTCTGCCACTGTCACGGTCCAGTCGTAACACTGTCACGGTCCCATCGTGAACTAAGTGAAAATGAATGAATTAAATTGTTTGCACGCACCTCCTTTGGATAGGCCACACCGATATTATCCAGGAACTCCGTAAATTGATACCGAATCAATGGATTGCTTTTTAATTGTTCAGAAAATGTTTTGGGGAGCAAATCCATTTGACTATCTCTGATTCCCTGCACTGTCCTTCTCGTGGCCTCTTCTTTAACTTTCTCCTTTTCCCGCCTCCCCAAGCTTGTTTCAGCGTCAAAGTGGAGGTTCAAGTGGCGGTCGAAATTTTTGTCACAGATGGTTCTGCACTTGGGGCACATTTTTGTTGGCCTTGTCGCAGAGTTTTCTAAAGATGAAATGAGAGAAAGGCAATCATTGAAAGGGTGTACTAAAACAATGCAGAATAACAAGCAGCATTATGATTACCGAGCTTCTTGGGATCCCTCGGGCGGCCTCGGCCCGGCCTTGGTTTTGGATCATCAAATGATTTAAACTCATAACAGTCTTCCTGAAAACGAATCGTTTTTATTGAAGAAACACACTTTTCTATCGTTTTTGCAACAGGAAAAAGACTTACACTTTCACTTTGTGACTTTAAGTCTAAATCCGATTTATTTTGCTTTTTACGGCTCCCTCTGTTAGAGGTACAACGGGAATAACAGGAACTCGAATTATATCGGCAACTTTGGCCCGCTTTTTAACAAATGTTTGGTTCCATTCTTTTAAACCCTCGGTTTGCACTTGCTTCTCGGGCAAATAGTTTATTTTCTCCTTTTCCCCCTCACAAACATAGGTTTCAATGCAAAACTGGAATAAAAGGGGTTCGAAATATTCCCACTGGGTTTGCACGGGCCAAACTTCTCGTTGGCTTGAACGGCACCATTGTTTTGTCAGGCAAGGATTCAAAGGTACCCTACAAGCCCTTGCTGTATCCTTCAGCAATCCTCCTCGACCCTTGTAGACCAAATCACCTGCGGCGGCCCGCCTTGGTTTGGATCATAATTTCAACCGGGGGGTTTCTTTCAAAGGAGGCTGTTACCAATTGGTCAAGATTTCCGGTTTCACGGACAACGAACGAACTTTCAACGTAGAACGGTCAACAGATCCATCTATTATGCCCATTTTCGGTCCCTATGTTCACAAAGAATGGAAACGGGCAAAAATTAAAGAAAAATGTGGATGAATTTACGGGGCGACCACGTAGTAATATCGAATTTGAGGCGGGCTAGGCCCAGATTCTCCTTCGTTTGTCTGCACCGTGCAACCCTCAGTACTTAGTGTCCTTACTTGTCCTCGGGGGAAGTCGGTTCCGCCCCCGACGTTCCTGGCCCCGAAGTTGCTGAACCCGATCCCTGTGACACGTGCTGCTTATTATTGCTGTCGTCCTCTAAACTGGACCCCGGTGTGCCTGATCCCGATCCCAGCGAAACGGGCTGCTCATTTTCGCTGTTTTCCTCTGATCTGTAACAGAAAACCTCTACTTACTATAAGTTTTAATTGAACGCACGACAATGATAACGAATATAAACTATCCAAACCTGTGACCGGGGCAGAGTGTACAGTCCGGAACCTGAATCATCCAGTCCTTTGCCCCGAACGATATTGACGAAACAATGTTGAAACCTGGCGTTACAAACGTCAAAATACAATCTCGTTTAGGCCTGTGTGGTCCATCCTGCATGTTTTGCGGACCGCTCCGTGTGGGGAAGGCCGGGCGAGCCCAGTCAGAGCCTGGGCGGCCCGCTAACCGAGGGATTGACGAGAGGGCCCAGCACAAAACGTTGAACCAAAGCGTCTTATCTGGGTACTACAATGCATTGGTGGCAAGAAATAATTTTAAGGAAAGAACCAAGTTTGTAGTTTGAGCTGAAATGTCAGTCAATAATACCAAATTGTGCACTCACGCATAGTTTCATTTTGAGGTCAAAAACAGGAATTTAGAAATGATTCTTTTTATTTAAAGTGTTTATTTTCGTGTCACTGACGCGCTTTGTCAAACTAATTAGACTCTTCGGTTCAATGTGAGACGGGGGATGAAGTTGGCAGCAATCCCTCGGCCGGCTGGTCAGCCCTGCCCTGCCCTGCGCGGGGCAGGGGCGCAGGAGCCTAAGTAAAGTGCTAACGAGCTTTCCCCGCGTCTCAAGGACGCTCGGTTTTTTTCGGGACCGTTATTCGGCTATCTTCGCCTCGGAGTGGCCCAGCTGTATAGCCAAAACGAGATTGTTGCGTTGCTTGCACTTTTTTAAGATCAAAGAGCGAATACCTCTGCTGAATCTCTGATGATATGCTCCAGGGCTGATGATAACAAATTGTCCTGCTGTCTGGGTGAACTGAAGAAAACCATTACATTAAAAACATGAAAATCCTGCAATGTTTCTCTTTCAGTGTGTTTATGAACGTTTCTACAAACCGTAGACATTCGCAGACCAGACACTTGTGGTCCAAACGGATTGATAAATCCTACTTGGTGCCTTTCCAATTCATTGAAGGCACACCGATGGCCTGGAGCGATTTGGGGGTACAGTTCATCAATCTTGTGTTTTTCTGAACTTGGAAACACAGTCCTGTTGGTCGAAACATACGATCGCCTTATTAAAAACCTGGACGTATCTCAAAACAAATAATAATGAATCGTAATTTAACAGTAGTCATTATATTTTCTGTCATAACTATGACTGTGGGTTCTTATTTGTTCGTTAAAACGATTTAAAGTTAAAGAAAAATGAAAAAGCAAAGCATTTTACCATTCAGTAGGCAAGCCTTGATGCACGAAGGTGATGGTGTACAGGTTTGCACTTTCAGTCTGAAGGGCGGAGCAGGGCCCAAGCGCACCAATGTGGACGAGAGGTGATGTAATTCCTGGCAGTTCTTTGTTTTCTCTCTGCACGGATGACATAGGGTCACCCAACCGACTCAGATTCCACACCTGAAATATTTATTTCCCTTGTTTAGTGTGTTCAGTATACGGGGAAAAAATAAAGCTATGTTAATGAATACGTTACGAGTTCTGGGACAGCAAGAAAAACTCTTCGACACTAGAAAATGACTCAGAAGGATTTGCAAAGTATTCTCACCTCGAGGTTGTCTGGAAAGAGATTTTCTCCTTTGATGGCAACTCCAAATTCAGCTGAGTATTGACCAAGGTGGCTGAAGAACGATTTGTATTCCGTACACGGGTACCTGTTTAACCCATATTTTGTTTAATAGATGATTAAAGATATATGGAAAAAACATATATTTAGGTCGGGAATAATTTGGACTCTTTCAAGTATGATTTATTAATGTGAACAAACTGAATTAGCCACTTACTCCCTTTGGCTGAACGCAGAGACTGTTACAACATTCTGCGTGCTGCTCACATCGAATGCACAACCACTTTCATCGTCATTAGGTTTATATTCAATTTTTTCCGGCTTAAAGGAGAAATTCAGAAAGCCATCTAGCTTCTCTTGGCCCAGCAACTGTTTCCACTGTTGTGGAGGATTGATCTGAAAAGGATAAATCGTTTTATAATGGTCTCAGTATTTAGTTTTAGCTTAGTTTGAAATTCTCTAATTACCAAGAGATAGCCATTCGCCTCCAGCTCTTTCTCGTGCTGTTCGACGAAACAGTTAAAGTTTTTAAACGCGTCCCACGTTGGAGTTATATTGGACGACATCTCTCATAAAAATCTGAAACGTACACCACACAAATTAATTTAGTACGTGGTAGCATAAGTATATTTCAGTAGAACTCATGGCCACTGGCAATGACATAAAAAAGCACTGCGAATGATTTAAGGACATAAAAGGCTTAATAAAACTTTCATTTTCGCGAGGTGTTTTATTCAATTTTATTTGTCTCTCATCTGTACATTTATTTTTGACACATCGAGAAAATTCTGAAAATGACATTTTTCTTACAAACTGAAGATTATGTTTCGCATTTCGTTCTGGCTCGTGAAGAAGTATAAACATTTACTTCTCATATTCGGAGTGTGTGAGACATGCACTCATTTTTGTGATAAGTAGTATTTGTCTAGCAAAATTTACAACAAATTCAATTTTTCAATTTTTTTTTTAAATTTTTATGGGATAGAGTCACCAGGGGAGTCACTTGGGGTACATATCGCTCCTGGTTTTTTGCTAGAAAAGGCTGTCCATTAATACCGATCAGAAAATGACTGTTTCGTGGTAACCTCCAGCTCCTTATGCAGCTGTAATGTATGAGGCACTGATGCAATCTGGCAGTCATCGCTTTCTTCAGAATCCCCTTTGGGCCTTTGAAGCTTATCTCGTACAAATGATTGCCTGGTGTTGGTGTGGCTTTGAAAAGTGCGTCACGGCTAAACATCTTGTGGCAGCAACCGAAGCCGATTTCCTCTTCAAGCCACAATGTGAGAAATCCAGTGATTCGCATCCAGTCACGAGACAAGGCCGAACTGCGCCCAATAGTTATTGGCTTCTTCATCTTGGCCATAGCATCCTTAAGCTGATACCAGATACACACAAACGAAGGAGCTTTAGTAACACTAATTTAAATTTAAATAAAGTTGCCATTAAACCAAATTCAAATTTCTAAAAATTTACCTGTAAAAGATTTCTTTCAAATAGGTCTTTGTGGGAGTTAACTAGTGCAGTCCTTTTCAAAGAGGGTTTTTTGTCATCTTTTGGCATCCTTGCATAATGCTGATAGTTGACAATTTTATACCTCTGCAGCACATCGACTGTTTTTTTGGCCTCGGGGTATTCTTTCTTACTCATATCTTTTAAGAATCGAATAGTGTACAAAAAATATTGAAGCAGTGTTTTTCCATTACAGGGCATGGCTTCGATGACCTTAATCACTTTGTTCGCTTCCAATAAAAGCTTCGGGCCGTACGGCTCTGAGCTTTTCTTTGCCAGTGCTGCAATGACTTTCCTCACTTTTTCCTTTCCCCTTTCGTGAAATCGACATCTCTCCAAAAGGGAAACGTGTTCGTGTGAAGTCGAAAGTTTCTTTTTGCCTGGAAACGTGACTTACTGAGTATTTTGTTATAAAATATGTGTGTGTTCGAAAGTTGTGAGCTGCACTTACTATCAGTGGATTTTCCCTCCATAAAATTTAATTTGGATTCAAAATTACACCCAGATTTCAAGATTTCTGTAAAAGCCTGTTTTTGGATGGCAGATTTGGAATGAAGTCCTTCGATTCCTGTCTGAGTAATGTCCTTTGGCATATCTGAAAAAAAAATATCAAAAGTTCAAACAATATTTACTGAGTAAAAATTACTACAAACTAGTATTTCCTTAGTAATTAATTGCCTTACAAGTAGCGTTTTGTTCTTCGGCAAATTTGAATTTTGATGCAAATGTTTTCTTAACTAACTCCACTCGTTCCATTCCTGAAATTGGTATATAAATAAAGATAAGCATAGGATTTTAAGCAGTAAAGGTTCTTATGACATTCTTCATGAAATACTTTTAATTCTCACCGGTCCCTTGTGAACTTTTGGCAAGTGGCCTTTCACTAGGTGCTGCAGAATTCGAGGTGGCTGTTAAGAGCTGCTCCTGTGTGAGAGGTTCAGTGTGGTTGCCATCTGCAGTTGACAGATTCTCGCCCAATATCGTATCTTTAATTAAAATAAAAAACACTTGTAATATCAAGTTCAAATTCTAAAATGTACATGATTCAAGTAACATTCTTGCAGTACAAAATCAAAAAAAGTGCGCTCAGAAAACGCACTTTTTTGTGAGTGCAGAGTTTATTTTAGAAGCACACCCAGAGAAGAGTGTTTTGAGCGCACACTCTTAAAGCGTGTTCGGAAAAATTTTGAGTTTGAAGCAGACTTTCTTAATTTGCTTTCCGTTCATTCACACACTTACTAGTTTCTTGGAGACATTTGGGTGTTGCTGCAAATTTAAATTTGGATGCAAACGTTAACTCCGTAGTCAACTGTTTGCTTTGTCCAATTTCTGAAATGTGTACACATTTTCATTAACGTAAACGAAACTCAATCAGAACAGTACGTTATACACAAAGCAGAATAAACTCACCATTTGTGTTTTCACCAGCCAGGGACAAAAATTTAAAGTTCATAGCAAATGGATTCATCTTGAGTTGTGAATCACTGCCCTGTCGTAGTGCTGAAATAAAAGAAAGCCAATGCAAACTAGGAGACACCTGTAAGAGTAGACATTTTCTGCTTCAAACAAATTGCCACTTACGATCATAAGACATGTCTGCCATATAGTGTGCGCAACACTTCCCTGCAAAACAGGACAATCTGGTCATTTCTTTGAAACGCTCCGCGACGCACCGCGACGCACCGCGACGCACCGCGACGCACCGCGACGCACCGCGACGCACCGCGACGCACCGCGACGCACCGCGACGCACCGCGACGCACCGCGACGCACCGCGACGCACCGCGACGCACCGCGACTGCCATGGCTGCCTTTCAGGCCAAGGAAGATAAAGCGGAGCCCAAGACAAAACGTTAACAGTCAGTCTTAAACATGGCAAGATGTATAATTGAAACCACTTGTCTGTTTAAAACGCTGCTAACCTATGTCTTTATCATCATTATCACCAAACGCCATGAGTATTGTGTCGCATCAATGACCAGCGCGGGCCAGCACTGCGCCGCGTGGAGGAATTCCTGGACGCCAACAAGAGGCTCCCCTGCTGGACCCCAACGAGCGCGACGCGGCCAGCGTGCGCAGCACGGCCTGCAGCACACGGTGGGCCGAAGACGGGCTGAGCGGCCAAAACTCGAGACGCGTTTTGAGCTCCAGAGTCTTTAAATTGGACTCGAACCGAACGTGTGACCCCACCAATGGATTCCTCGTTCGGAGAGCAATTCATTGGTGGGGTCACATGTTCAGTTCAAGTCCTGTTTGGCGGCTGTGGAGCTGAAAACGCGTCTGGAAATTTGGCCGCCTCCACCCGCTTGTTTGCGTCCAGGAAAAAGTGCCGGCAAACCGCGTGGGTGCTGCCGCGTTGCATGCCATGCTGGCCGTGCAGGCCGTGCTGTAGGCCGTGCTGCACGGTAGGCCAGAAGACACGTCTTCTGGCGCAATGTGCAGCACGGCCAACAGCACGGCCTGCACGGCCTGCAGCACGGCCTGCAACACGGCCTCCAGCACGGCCTGCAGCATGGCCTGCAGCACGGCCAGCAGAACGGCCTGCAGCATGGCCTCCAGCACGGCCTGCAGCACGGCCTGCAGCACGGCCTGCAGCACGGCCTGGAGCACGGCCTCCAGCACGGCCTGCAGCACGGCCTGCAGCACGGCCTGCAGCACGGCCTGCAGCACGGCCTCCAGCACGGCCTCCAGCACGGCCTGCATCTTGGCCTGCAGTACGGCCTGCAGCACGGCCTGCTGCACGGCCTGCAGCACGGCCTGCAGCACGGCCTGCAGCACGGCCTGCAGCACGGCCTGCAGCACGGCCTGCAGCACGGCCTGCAGCACGGCCTGCAGCACGGCCTGCAGCACGGCCTGCAGCACGGCCTGCAGCACGGCCCGCAGCACGGCCTCCAGCACGGCCTGCATCACGGCCTGCATGGTCACCGCCCGCACCGTGCGCCCACACTGCTGCTAGCTTGGCCGCTGACTCGGCGACATTGCTTCCACGCCGAGTATGGCCTTGGTGAGTCTTATGCGGCCCCCGGTCGCCACGATCACTCGACACTACTGCTGTCTCTCTCGCACCTTATCCTGTTCCACACACAGCGGAACGCGGGGCGGGGCAGGAGGGGTGAGGCGGTTGGGGCCATGCAGGGCTGGCAGGGCCACTCCAGCCCTCCCTCGTGGCACTCCAGGGGCCGACGGGGCCCGGCTAGTCCTCCAACAAGTGGGCGTCGCACCCCGACCTCCTAATAGCCTGGTGCGAAGGGAAACGTCACAGCATTGCAATGACAGCTCTGAAGCTGTCTGAAGCTGAAGCTCTGAAGCGAATTCTGCGAGGTTTGAAAGTCTAACAAGGTGGTGTTCAGAGCTGTCCAAATCCTAAACGGTGCACAGTGGGCTAGAAGACCGGTGGAGGCGGCCAAAATTCTAGAGGCGTTTTGAGCTCCAGAGTCGCTAAGCGCGACTCGAACCGAGCGTGTGACCCCACCAATGGATTCGTCGTTCGGAGAGCAATCCATTGTAGGGGTCACTCGTTCGGTTCGAGTCCCATTAAGCGAATCTGGAGCTGAAAACGCGTCCGGAGTTTCGACCGCCTCCACTGCCTTCTGGCCCACAGTGCGGTGCGCAGAGCAAGTTGCGTCTCTGAAGGGAACGCTAAAGGGGAGTGTCCTAAATACGCTCCAGGTGGTGTTTTTTTTTTTTTTTTTCAAAATTGACCTAAAGTTTGAGACAACCGTTTTTTCTCGGGACGTTGCAGCTTGGCTGGTGAGCCGGGACGATACCAGATTGGCACGAAAAAGGGTTTTTGACGATTCATTATGCAAAAAAGAAGCGCGCGATACTCTATCCACGCAGTGCTCCGTAAACTTTGCTACAATCTCAAGCAGCTGTCAAACTTTGAGCCTGGTGTTAGAAGGGGAACGTCCCTAAACGAGGGCGCAAAAATGGCTCGTGACGCCGAAACGGCCACATCATTGCTCGGCAAGCGGAGCCTAGGGGCACGTTTTTGGCGAATAATTTTGCCTTACTGATGCAAGCTAGACTCTTTCCGCGCAGTGCGCGGTAAACAATGCGACAATCACAAGCAAACGTCAAATTTTGACTCCGGCAGGGGCTAGGGAACGTCCCGCGGGCGCCAGCCCTTCGCCAAGCGTTCAGGCGGCGCATTCAACAAGAAATTGTTGATTATGTTTCATACCAGGTTGGACCTCCAGGGAGGTTCTCAAACTGCCTCTCTCCGCTCCTCTCTGCTCCTCTCTGCCCCTCCCTGCCCCTCTCTGCCCCTCTCTGCTCCTCTCCGCTCCTTTCTGCCCCTCTCCGCCCCTCTCCGCCCCTCTCCGCCCCTCTCCGCCCCTCTCCGCTCCTCTCTGCCCCTCTCCGCCCCTCTCCGCCCCTCTCTGCCTCTCTCCGCTCCTCTCTGCCCCTCTCCGCCCCTCTCCGCCCCTCTCCGCCCCTCTCCGCCCCTCTCTGCCCCTCTCTGCCCCTCTCCGCCCCTCTCCGCCCCTCTCGCCTCTCTCGCCCTCTCCGCCCCTCTCCGCCCCTCTCCGCCCCTCTCCGCCCCTCTCCGCCTCCTCTCTGCCCCTCTCCGCCCTCTCCGCCCCTCTCCGCCCCTCTCCGCCCCTCTCCGCCCCTCTCCGCCCCTCTCCGCCCATCTCTGCCCCTCTCCGCTCCTCTCTGCCACGCTCTCTCCAGCAAACTGCTTCACGCTCCGCACGCCCACCTAAGCGTCGCCACCCTGCACCTGTATGACAGTCTTGCGAGGGCCGACGCAGAGCACAGCGCTGCAGTGCTGATTGCAGTGTCGTTGTGGTTTGGCCGTCCCCTTGAATCCTTGGAGGGGGTAGCGGTGGGGGACACGAGCCTCAGCCGGACCAGCCGGCGGGCAGTGTTTCATTGTTCTGCAGCTACCTGCCGCACGCGCCATTTGCACTGTACCGTGGAGAGGTGTGGGAGTGGCGACTGCGAGGCGCGCCCTGCCACCCCGCCATGCCGCCCCGCCCTGCCGCCCCGCCATGCTGCCCGCCCCGCCCTGCCGCCCCGCCATGCCGCCCCGCCCTGCCGCCCGCCCCGCCCTGCCGCCCCGCCCTGCCGCCCCGCCATGCCGCCCCGCCATGCTGCCCCGCCTCCCGGAGACAGGCTGCACGCGGCGGGCCTGCGAAGCCACGCCCAGTAGTGCGAACCTTGTTGGACGCGTTCGACCGGCGTGGCCTCGTGGCAGCCCGTCACGTCGTGCTCGGCGGAGTGAGAAGTCATTGGCCAATAGGAGGCCACCAGCCGCGGCTGCACACCGCTGGCAGCGAACGGCGCTCGCAACCAAGTGGTGCGCAGACGCCGTGCCACGCCGTGCCGGGCCAAGTCCAAGACGAGAGTAAGCACCGTTTTTTGCGCTACGCTCGTGGTAGTAATAAAATAGTATTATTTTAGGGACATTATTGTTAGAATGTAGGCAGCGAGGGGGCAACCACATTGGATGTTTAGTGAAATACGATTTTTAAAGGCTAAAGATTTCATCGGATTTCGCAAGATTTTAACCGATATTCCACCTAAAACTAGCTTGTTTTTGGCCTTTTGTGGGGGCAAGATCTCAGATTTCCCAGCGATTTCTAGCGCTAAGGGGACACAATATTTCTAGGGTGGTTGCCGCCTCGGCCTGCCCCCTCGGCCTGGCGCCTGACCGTTCCTCTCGTCGCTCTGTCTCTCTCGCACCGGCCTGCGGGACGGCCCGCGAGTGCGAGAGAGAGAGAGAGAGAGAGAGCGATCCGTCGGAATGAGGCGGCTGGCTGCGGGACCTGCGGGTCGACCGCTCTTTCGGAGGGCTTTCTCGCTCCGTGCTCCGCGCGACAAGGACGTGGAAACGGTGCCCTTTCCTCCCGACGGCCGGCCTGCCCGTGGCAGACTGATCGCTCTGTCTCTCTCGCACCCGTGCGGGACGCCCAATGAGTGCGACAGAGACAGAGTGACGACTCTCGGAATCAGTCTGTTGGCCGGCAGCCTGCAGTGCTGCAGTTGTCCGGCCGGCCAGACAAACAGCAGTGGAAACTGGAAGAGGACAGTGGCGATCCAGAGTCCGCCCAGAGAGGGGGGGGAGGGCAAAGTAGAACTTTTTGCCTACCTACAGGGGCAAAGTGGTGCTTTTTGACCTACCCTTCAGGCGGCTACCTAGGGGTAAAGGGGGGGGGCAATTGTCCTCTCCCCCCCCCCAGTGGATCCGCGCTCGAGAGAAGTTTCGCCAGAAAAACGTTCGGGCAAGGCTTCCCCCCCCCCCACCCCTCTCTTTCCTTGATCCATGCAAGTAAAACGGCGTGTGACGGCCTGGTGTCGGCGTGCCAGCCAGGTGTCAGCAAGATGTTGGCCCTCTAGCGGCCCGCTGCTGTCAGATGCAGCGTGCGACGCGATTATGCAGGCGACCCGCACTGCGCGGGGGCGTGTCGCGCCTGCGCAGCATCCACCCTTGTTGCACTCACCGAACCGGCGTCGCCCTCTCTTTTACAGGACAAGAGCACCTTTATCGTCTTTATCAACCAACGCCATCAGTATTGTGTCGCATCACTGACCAGCACGGGCCAGCACTGGGCCCCAGCCACGCGTTTAGGAATTAAACTACCCATT